TATAAAACGCATTCACAACGTTAACACCATTGGCGAGCCTGTGGAACCAGCAGAGAAGGTAACTTGTGTTACATGTGGAAAACAGTACAGTCAGAAAAGCTCTCTACAACGGCACAATGACGCTGTTCATAATGTAAACAGCAAGAAATCCTTGCTCAAGTTGAAATGTGATACGTGCGATTATGAAACTATTTTCAAATCTAATTTGCGACGTCATTTAATGAAGACACACCAAAACAAAAATCCGAAAAGACTTAGAAAATTTATATGTTCAATGTGCCCTTCCAATTTTAGTAATCTGAGGTCCCTCAAGTACCATGAAAAAACTAAGCATATGCTCGGGACAAAAAAGTATCCCAAGAGGAAATGTCCATTGTGTGATTATGTTTCATATGAAATAAGAAAATCAGTAATTTACAAACATTTTGAGACAAAGCACAACATAGTGATGAATTGGCAAACACACAATTTTAACTCTCAGGAGGATTTCAAGCTGTGGAAGAGGAGTGTTGAACAAGAGAATGCTGTGTATTACATGGCAAAATTTCGGTCTGAGAAGGATTTATACTACACTTGTAACAGAAGTGGAAACTTTGTTAGTAAAAGTTCTAATATCAGGAAACTGAAGTCTTCAGGTTCATGTAAAATAAATGGTTTCTGTCCATCCGCTATGTTTGTAAATCAAGAAAGTGACAGTGTTGTTGTTAAATATTTACCAGTACATGTGGGTCACGAAAAAGATCCAATGTACTTGAGAATATCCCTAGGAGGTCTCGGATGTGGTAGAAAGTACAAACGAGCGATGAGAGAAAGAAGAGAAAGAGAAAAGTCAAAAATAAAAGAAACACATGTTGAAGAGAATGCTTTTATAGTTGCAGTAATTGGAGACAATGACATAATCTCAAATGAAGTGGTGATAGAAGAAAATGAAGTGGTGATAGAAGAAAATAAAGTGGTGATAGAAGAAGGCATCGTTCAAGAAATCAACGGAGAAGCAGATATACAAAATGTTTCCTCTGAACCTCACAGTTACACTGAAGATCACGATACAACGCTGTATTTAAAAAAAGTTAAGTTGTTCCAGGAGTTTCGTGAATTTGAGGGGTTCTTACAGAAAAATTTAACATCGATCGAACAGATTGAATATGTGAGACGAGAAATAGTCAAGATAGTAACGGATATTAAGGTGTCAAACTCAGCAGTACATATTAAATAAAAAGGTAATTGTCGGAGATTAAAATTGCTAATATGGAGTTTGGTTTTTGTGTCATATTTATTGCTAATATTTGATGTCTGCCTTAAAACTACAATAAAATCAAACTCAAATCTAGGCCTTGTTAAACTAATACCTCACGATGTTTGTTCTTTTGCTTTTTCGTACTCATGGATACTTATTTTCTCTTTCTACTTTGTCACACTTGCTTTAATCTCTCTTTTTTAAATACATTTTTTTGTTTACATGTTTACAAATTTTCCACAACATTCAAGTAAATTATATCTTAGATATAATTTTGTGTCTTTCAATCTTTCCTCATCTTTCCTACCCAAAGCTGTAAATAAGTCTCAAAAAAGTTGAACTATATTTACATATTAAACATAACCTCAAAACCCTTTAAGCCCCAAATGCTAATGTGTCAGATTCCATAAATCTTGCAGTGAGACGTGCGGTGGGGCACACGGAAGATTTCTCAGGTGCCGTTTGACGTCACTAACTGCTGACGTCACTAACTGCTGCGTCTAAAGAAACAGACAATTTTATAATTTTCTATTATTAAATTAAACTGTCATAACCTAACCAAACTAACCAAACGTGCTGATAATGGAAAAATCGAATAAAGGTTTACTAATCTAAAAAATAAAAAATAGTTTTGTTCATAAAATAAAATTATAATTGCCTAAAATTCAATTTTATAATTTTTTTATTATAAAATTAAACTGTCATAACCTAACCAAACCAACCAAACTTGCTAATATGAAAAAAATGTTGATAAAAAGTTAATGCCGCCGGCGGGATTCGAACCCGGATCATTCGGATTATTAGCCCGCAACGCAATCCACTGCACCACCGAGGCCGATGGCTCTAACCGTATCGTTGCTGTATGTGTGTTCCCTCAAAGTGACGTCAGCAGTTAGTGACGTCAAACGGCACCTGAGAAATCTTCCGTGTGCCGTTTCGGTGAGACGTGTACTTAAACTATTTTTAACCTACATGACCTTTTTAATACAATCTGGTAGTAGATAAGAAGAACTACAAACAAGTTAAAAACAACTTGGGGCTTGTTGTTAAGCAGTGTTGTTACAGTTTGTATAATGAAACCTATCTCTTAACTGGGTCTATCTGGGACTAACCTTGGCCTTAAACCATTTCCAAGTCCCTAGGCAGTCAGAGGGTTCAATATGTCTACCTGGCCAAGCAGTCTTAAAGGTTTTAATCCTGTCTTGGTCTGATCTAGTGTATCTAACTTATGAGGAGTTCAGGCCTACATACCTGAGGAGGTGGCCTTCCTTTAAACAAATGTGGTCAGCTAGGGTGGAAGTTGATACAAGGTGCCTTTATATTGCACTTTTAAATACAATTTTAGTTAAAGGATATAGTTCTCGTACAACAACCTCCATGTTCAAAATGCTTTAGTATTTAATATATCTTGAGTGTTATAAGCCAATTTCCCATATAGGGAATAAGCTATTACCGTAGGTCTCATGGTAACACCTGTGCCCGGGACCGATTTAGTTTTTTTTTTTTTTTTTTTTTTTTTTTTTTTTTTTTTTTTTTTGGGTCCCCAGAAGCAAACCTGTGTCCGTTAGCACGATAACTCAAGCAAAAATTATCCGACTTTGATGAAATTTGGTGTTAAGGTGTAAACCTACATGTATTCAAACAAGTTTGCGAACCAGCATGATTGAACTATGGGAACAGGGGTTTATGGGGGGTTTTATGGAGCAAAAATGGAATTTCTTCATTTTTCACCCTGAAAACATAAAATTTTGCAATTTCTTTGCAAACTATTTTGTTGAACTAAAAAAAAACAAATAATTTAGTATATTGAATCATTTTTGTATGCCTAATGGTTACGGGAAAGATCCCAAAAAAGTGTCAATTTAAAATTACTATGTTATTCTTTATGGAGAATAGGCTAAATAAACTGTTATAGCTTGCTTGTCTATGGACTTATTTTAAAGACATTTTGAAATTTTGTTTACTTTGTACTAAGCTATCAGTATTTCAATAAAAACCCCTATTTTCTTCCCTGTAGCAGCAAAACCTATGTACTCATTAAAATTAATGATATTTAAATAGGAAATAAATCTGACAATTTTAAGGGAATAATTTAGTGGAATTCCAGGCAGGTAGATGGAAATTCACTTAGTCTGCAGGTTTGCTGCGGCGGGGGTATATAACCATTGATTTTAATAATGAAGTAGACATCCTATTTGTCAAACCAGCTGTACCAGTTTACTCGTAAAAAAAGAATAACTGAGTATGTCTCGACTTTGGGCCCTTTTACCTGTGTTAGTTCTGTAGGGAAAGGGGAACTGACTTAATATTTCCCTAACCAAAGGTGGCAACCCTCTATAGAAGTTTAATGTCTTCTTTCAGTTTTCCACACTGTGATTTAGACATAAAAGAAGTCATCGTTCACAATAACATATCTTTCAGTTGGTGTTTTTGAAAAATTTGTGTATAAGAAAAGAAATAATATTTTATAGCAGTAAACTCGGTCACTGGCTCATCCAAACCAATTTATTCTAAAACTAAGTCAAACATTTGAATGGGATAGACCCAGTTAGGTATCTACAGAGATACATTTAAAATTATGCCTTTTAAATACATTTTGCCTGTGAGTGATGTGTAGTAACTTACCCTCGCCACAGCAAACCTGCAGACTAGGTAAGTTTAAATTCTGATTTGATTTGAATTAAAATACTTGCCATAAACAAGTCATATTATTTATTCCATATTAGCAGGTTCAGTTCCAGCCGTCACACTCCTCTGTATGTAAAGTCTCTCTCCACACGGGAGTGAGTGTGTTAAATAACATTAGACCAGTGCTTATGATATATGATTTGGTTAAGGAGTTTATGTTAATCTGTGCTTAGGATTGCTGTTACGGGGAAGGAAAAAAGTGTTCTTTGATCAAATGTATATACTTGGATGAAATAAATAAATTTGATCAAAATATATCCATAAACAAGAAAACTACCTATAACAGTTGTTTTTCTTCTTAAGAATGACATGGAAAATTTTAAATGTAGCTTACAGTTTTTGAAATTTTCTGCACAACAATGCTATAATATACAATATTGCTCAACGGATGTGATAGAAATTTGACATTTACATGTTTTGAGGGTAAAAGTTTGAAAAAACCAACTTTTGAGAAACTTCAAAACTCCATAACACCTCGTTCCCATGACCCATTCTTGGTAGTTTGCAAACTCATCTAGGTTTTTCCAGCTCTATACACATTCATGCAGTATTTAATCAAAATCAGACCAAAATTACTCAAGCTATTGTATTTATTGACACACACACACATATCCTATACTCTTAACTTGTATGAGCAATATTTGCTTGTACATGTATGCTTGTGTGCTTGTAAAGACATCTTGAAAACGGCCTCGACGATTTCCGTCAAATGTTGTAAACAATTTATTTCTGGCCAAAAAACACAATTGAAGACAGCGACTACTTCAGGAAAATTTGTATTTTGCTACACAACTCATTTGAAAATTAAAAATTTTGACATTGGCCGTAAGGGTTGCCATGTAACTATGTTGGTTGAACAAAATAAAAAGGAATAAATAAATGAGACTTTTAACATGTGTTCATAACAGGCCTTCCAATTTTTCTCTTTCCCTATAGGTAATTTCGCTAAAAAAAAGGGAAGTGATGTGAATAATTCTGCACTGTAAATCATATTCTTCTCAGTTTTGTTGATGAAACGTAGCATTTTGTTTTACTTGCGTATAAAACTTATTCATCTTCTCATCTTGGGTTGCAGATGAGTGGAGCGGGTAAAGCAGTTTGTTACATCTGTGGCAAGGATTTTATGAACCAAAAGTACTGTAACCGTCATATAAAACGCATTCACAACGTTCACACTATTGGCGAGCCTGCGGAACCAGCAGAGAAGGTAATTTGTGTTACATGTGGAAAACAGTACAATCAGAAAAGCTCTCTACAACGGCACAATGACGTTGTTCACAATGTAGACAGCAATAAATCCTTGCCCAAGTTGAAATGTGATCAGTGCGATTACGAAACTTTTTACAAAAGTAATTTGCAACGTCATTTAATGAAGAAACACCAAAACGAAAATCCGAATAGACAATTTAAATGTTCAATGTGTTCTTCCAAATTTAGTCACCTGAAGTCCCTCAAGTACCATGAAAAAACTAAGCATATGCTGGGGACGAAAAAGTATACCAAGAGGAAATGTCCGTTGTGTGAGTATATTTCATATGAAAATAGGAGATCAGTAATTTACAAACATTTTGAGACAAAGCACAACATAGTGATGAATTGGCAAACACACACTTTTAACTCTCAGGAGGATTTCAAGCTGTGGAAAAGGAGTGTTGAACAAGAGAATGCTGTGTATTACATGCCAAAATGTAAGTCTGAGAAGGATTTTTACCGGTTCTACATTTGTAACAGAAGTGGAAACTATGTTAGTAAAGGTTCTAATGTCAGGAAAACTAAGTCTTTAGGTTCATGTAAAATAAATGGTTTCTGTCCATCCGCTATGTTAGTAAATCAAGAAAGTGACAGTGTTGTTGTTAAATATTTACCAGTACATGTGGGTCACGAAAAAGATCCAAAGTACTTGAGAATATCCCTTGGAGGTCTCGGATGTGGTAAAAAGTACAAACGAGCGATGAGAGAAAGAAGAGAAAGAGAAAAATCAAAAATAAAAGAAACACATGTTGAAGAGAACGCTTTTATAGTTGCAGTAATTGGAGACAATGACATAATCTCAAATGAAGTGGTGATAGAAGAAAATGAAGTGGTGATAGAAGAAGGCATCGTTCAAGAAATCAACGGAGAAGCAGATATAGATAATGTTGCCTCTGAACCTCACAGTTACACCGAAGATCATGATACAACGCTGTATTTAGAAAAAGTAAAGTTGGTCCAGGAGTTTCGTGAATTTGAGGGGTTCTTACAGAATAATTTAACATCGATCGAACAGATTGAATATGTGAGAAGAGAAATAGTCAAGATAGTAACGGATATTAAAGTGTCAAATTCAGCAGTAAATATTAAATAAAAAGGCAATTGTCTGAGATTCAGAATGCTAATATGGAGTTTGGTTTTTGTGTCATATTTATTGCTAATATTTTATGTCTGCCTTAAAACTACAATAAATTCAAACTCAAATCTAGGCCTTGTTAAACTAATACCTCACGATGTTTGTTCTTTTGCTTTTTCGTACTCATGGATACTTATTTTCTCTTTCTACTTTGTCACACTTGCTTTAATCTCTCTTTTTTAAATACATTTTTTTCTTTACATGTTTACAAATTTTCCACAACATTCAAGTAAATTATATCTTAGATATAATTTTGTGTCTTTCAATCTTTCCTCATTTTTCCTACCCAAAGCTGTAATTAAGTCTCAAAAAAGTTTAACTATATTTACATATTAAACATAAACTCAAAACCCTTTAAGCCCCAAATGCTAATGTGTCAGATTCCATAAATCTTGCAGTGAGACGTGTACTTAAACTATTTTTAACCTACATGACCTTTTTGATACAATCTGGTAGTAGAAGAACTACAAACAAGTTAAAAACAACTTGGGGCTTGTTGTTAAGCAGTGTTGTTACAGTTTGTATAATGAAACCTGTCTCTTAACTGGGTCTATCTGGGACTAACCTTGGCCTTAAACCATTTCCAAGTCCCTAGGCAGTCAGAGGGTTCAATAGGTCTACCTGGCCAAGCAGTCTTAAAGGTTTTAATCCTGTCTTGGTCTGATCTAGTGTATCTAACTTATGAGGAGTTCAGGCCTACATACCTGAGGAGGTGGCCTTCCTAAACAAATGTGGTCAGCTAGGGTGGAAGTTGATACAAGGTGCCTTTATAGAGTTGCACTTTTAAATACAATTTTAGTTAAAGGATTTAGTTCTCGTACAACAACCTCCATGTTCAAAATGCTTTAGTATTTAATATATCTTGAGTGTTATAAGCCAATTTCTCATATAGGGAATAAGCTATTACCGTAGGTCTCATGGTAAGACCTGTGCCCAGGACCGATTTAGTTTTTTTTTTTTTTTTTTTTTTTTTTTGGGCAAACATGTGTCTGTTAGCACGATAACTCAAGCAAAAATTATCCGACTTTGATGAAATTTGGTGTTAACCCTTTCAGTGCTATGAAACGATATATCGTTGTTTTAAAAAAACCCTAAGGGATATAGAGAGGAAGGTTATTTTAAAAAAAATAGCAAAACGGCCATTGGTGACCTGCATGTTCATAGGATACACTACCAACCACTTAGCTAAAAGATTCGCCCAATCCGATGATTTCGAGGTGTATGTCTAAACCAAGGATTATGAACACCTCACTATGCCCCAGTGGTTGTAGTATATCGCTACAAACACACAGGTCACCAATTATTTGCCACACAGGACGGGATTCGAACCCGAGCAGACGAATGCCACTGGCCAAGTGACACACGCCCTAGCCTTCTCGGCTATCTGTGCTTGAAGACTGGGGAGTCAAAACCCGGTATTTAAGCTGTCGCCACCGATTGCGAACAGATGGCGCTGCAGATAGTTGTTCAATGCGTTACTAGGTAGCAGCACCAGCTAGTCACGGACTATTTAGATGCAATCTTTTAGTTTTAGTAGTAGTAAATGTGTTCCTGAGACTTTGCTGCAAAACATTAGTTTCCCTAAAATTGATATATTACAATAACCTCGTCCAACTAAATCAGGGTTAAATTCAATATTACATTGTAAACTATATGTCTTTTGATTTTGTGAGATTTCGGTTTCAAATAATGCTATCAGAACATAAAAATTTATAGGAAAACCAGGAAAATTACAACAAAAACTAAGTTTTATTTGATGTTTACTACAAATACCAATTTATCTTTCTTATATATTTTCTTATTGTGTTATTATTCAAAATTAGCCTAATTAATAAAACAGTGACAGCATGACAGTTAAAATTCAACAACGGGTAATGGAATTAAAAGGCAAACAAAAAAGTCTTATAAAATATGAATTATTGGCCTAGCACTGAAAGGGTTAAGGTGTAAACCTACATGTATTCAAACAAGTTTGCGAACCAGCATGATTGAACTATGGGAACAGGGGTTTATGGGGGGTTTTATGGAGTAAAAATGGGGTTTCTTCATTTTTCACCCTGAAAACATAAAATTTTGCAATTTCTTTCCAAACTATTTTGTAGAACTAAAAAAAAAACAAATAATTTAGTATATTGAATCATTGTTGTATGCCTAATGGTTACGGGAAAGATCCCAAAAAAGTGTCAATTTAAAATTACTATGTTATTCTTTATTAAGAATAGGCTAAATAAACTGTTAAAGCTTTTTGTAAAGAAAAATAAAAAGTTCTTTACTTATATTCTTTTGTAAGGAAAACAACTACTTTATTTCCTTACTTAATTGATCATTCCATCAAATAAAATCACCTCACACCTTTATGTAATACAATTTAGGTATTCCATACAGGAGTGAGTATTATAAAAAGTTGCCCCCTGGTGGGGGTTTGAAAATGATATTTAATTAATTTAATCAGACAACTGAGGACTAATCACAGAGCTGGCAGTGGAAGTAAGATGTTGTATTGAGCCCTGGTAATTATATATCCCAGAAATCCGATTTATGGACCGTGAGAGGTCTGATATGTCCTCCTGAAAATACATTCAATGATCTTAAATTTAACACTTCTTAAAATGTAATAAAATGTATACCAATACTCTGAATGCAAAATGTACTCTTGTTGAAATTCTATTAAAATATGGCAATGATTCTGTATTACTGAAATATCAATACCAAACACTGATTAAACCAATATGTAATAATTTGTATAATAATATTCAATTTACTGATATTGTATTTTATTGCAATTGTTCGGTTAAACCTTGACAAGATCAACACAGGAGAATTAATAAAATTGTTGAAAGAATAAGCTTTGTATATTGTAACTGAAATATCTACAAATGTTACAAATCTCAATCATAATCTAAGGTTTTTGCTCTATTGACACTTATATTGATCAAGGGGAGAGTATTGATTGTGATTTATTTGACCTTCTTTTGTTTTCTGAGATACTAATAGCAGAGCCTCGGGAACCTAGGTTTGATTTATTTAATCTATTTTTAGGCTATCAGGCTTCCCAAATTAGTGTATTTATTAACAACTGGCCAGTCGACTTTAATATGCAAAAGGGGCTATTCGTAGTTCTGTGTATAACACATTTTATTGCTCAGTGGCAAAATGGGCCGAATCAACTACTGAGTCGATTGTTTAATTTAGTTAATAAAATGACTTTAATGGCGTTAATGGAAGCCTATCCTTAAAGCCTGTATTGAAACCTACCCTTCAACCGAGACAATGCTTTGAGTTAAAACTGAATTGATACACAATCAAACACTCTCAGAGATCTCTATGTATTTTAGAAGTGATTTTAAATCCAAATATTTAAGTAAGAACAAATTGTAACAGTTTTACATGACAGACAGATGATAATGATATTATGAATTGAATTTAAATATAAAAATTACAATACAAATTTGATTGATGTGGAAGTTTACCCAAATTATTAATCTAGTAATATCTACAAATGCATCACAATATATATTTAAAATAAGTAAATGGCACTAACGTTGAAACAATGTGACTGAATTACGTACTAGGACATGAAACCTGCAAGAAAAATGATCAGACAAATATGAATATGGACAGATTGGCTCGTACTACACAATATAAATACAAATTACACAGAACATTTACTTACATACACAGAAGACAATTTTGACGACACTTAAACATATAATTACGACACTGTACTTGGGGATGACTCTGCGAAAATGGTCAAATTTGACGAATTTTGCCGGTCGACGTCGAACTTAAAGACTCGATTTGTTTGTTCAATTCGTAATTTAGCAAACGCTGTTTCGTGATTCAAATACCAATGCACCCCGGATATCGAACAATTGATTTGGTTGCCGATATTCACGTTACGATTTCCAAAAGTGAGTTTTTGCGAATTGAAAGGAGAATTCAAAGATTTCCGAACATCACGGCTCAACGTCTCGTCCCCAAGTAAGCGACCGTTGGGAAGACATCCACTACGTTAACAAGTTCGTATCACTCCGCGCTCACGTGATTGGCCGTTGTTGGGTCCTTGCTTTTGCGCGTTTTCTGTTTGATTTGAATTTTAATCGGTACAAGATGGAAATTCACTTAGTCTGCAGG